CTTCCTCTACATTTTTGGGGTCAGTGTGTGATACACGCTGTTTATCTTATTAATAGGCTACCATCGGGGGTTCTGGAATAGCTAAGTCCTCATCACAAATTATATAGAAAAAGTCCAAACCTCAAGGGCCTGAAGACCTTTAGATGCTTGTGTTATGCTGCTACCCTGCCTTCATCTCGCCACAAAATGGCACCTCGGAGCAAAAGATGCATATTCATCGGAATCCTAGCAGGTGTGAAAGGTTATCTATTATATGACCTCATGGATTATTCTGTGTTCATATCTCGTGATGTGATAATTCTATGAAGACAACTTTCCTTTGGTTAATACAATGGAGTCCAGCCTACAAGAAATAGTTCCCACGCTGCCAAACATCCCCACAACCATGAACAAGAGCTTGATCCCCACGTGATCCATGATGCTCAAACTCAAGTGCATGAAGGATCCTCAAGCTCTGAGAGCAGAGTCGAAGAGCAGCCTCAAAGTCCTGCCATTGATAACAGTTATAATGCTGTTAAGGATCTCCCGACAACACCACAGGAGATAACACTAACAGCCCCAGCCTTTCAAATCCCATGCAACATCCTATTGATCATGCACAACAGCCCCTTGGCCCTGTTCAGCTCCGACGATCCAGCAGGCAGCACCAACCATCCAAAAGGTTAGAAGGATACTATTATGACAATATTATCCAGAACAGAACATCCCTTCATCTGCTATCGAATGTGTTGACTTATGACAACCTTGAATATCAACAAAAAATGTTCCCCATGGCAGTCGCCACGATCACTGAGCCGATAACGTATAATCAGGCAATTAAACATGATGGTTAGAAAAGAGCTATGAATCCAAAAATTATGGCCCTCCAGGAGAACAATACTTGGGAGCTTGTCGACTTGCCACCAGGAAAAATGCACATCGGATGCAAATGGGTATACAAAGTGAAACTCAAACCGGATGGCACAGTCAAGAGATATAAAGCAAGGCTCGTCGCAAAAGGGTTCACACAACAGCTTGGCATAGACTACCTTGACACATTCTCTCCGGTGGCCAGGCTAACTATAATATGCATGTTCATCAGTGTGGCAGCATCCAACTCTTGGCACATCCACCAAATGGATATCAATAACGCGTTTTTACATGGGGATCTCAATGAGGAGGTATACATGGTGTTGCCACTTGAATTTCAAAGCCAAAAACCTAACCAAGTATGCAAGTTATTGCGGTCATTATATGGACTAAAGCAAGCAAGTTGGCAATGGAATGCCAAGCTCAGTTTTGCCTTACTTCATGCCGGATACAAGCAATCTATTGCTGATTCGTCTCTGTTCACCAAAGGTAACAATAATGATGATTTCATTTCCTTACTCGTTTACTTCGATGATATCATTGTAGCAAGTGCAAGCATGGGTCTGATTCAAGAACTCAAGAAGTTTTTGGACACTACATTTAAAATCAAGGATCTAGTGCGGGTGTCGGTGCGGGGCGGGAATACCTCCCCACTATTAGTAATAATATATAATTATGTTATAATGTATAGTTTATATATCTGTGGTTTTTATTTGATTGACTAGTCTAGTCTATTCTGTAGGAGCTTTTAGTGGTAGCTTTCCTATAGGTCTCTTGAATGTAATCTCTTTCCTGATTGAATGTGAATTCTGTTTGTTCATCTGGTATCAGTTAGCGTTAGGCTTGTTATCCTATCCTGGTTTTTCTCTCCCTCCGTACCATGTCGAAAAACTCTTCTGAACGTACGATAACAACCACCACCGCCCCATCGCAACCCACCGGAAATTCCCTAAATGTTGCCCATCATTTCGTATCCATAAAATTAAACAATCGGAATTTTCTATTCTGGCGTACCCAGATTGTACCGTTCTTGCGTGGGCAGGGCCTACTAGGATTCATCGACACCGTAGCTGGTTCGATGGTCGACAATCCGGCGCATGCCGCTTGGGTTCAACAGGATCAATCGATCCTGTCTCTCCTGATCTCGTCACTCTCCAACGAGGTCATGCCGCTTGCGGTTGGCCGGGAAACTTCGCGTGACGTTTGGCTATCCATCAACGAGACGCTGGCATCATCCACGAGGGCCCGGTGTCTCAATCTGCTCGGCCAGTTCCAGACTCTCCGGCAAGGCAATAGTTCCGCCTCAGAGTATCTCGGGAAGGCGAAGATGTTGGTCGAAGCCTTGTCACTCGCCGGGCACCCTCTCTCTCTCTCGACGAACAGGTGTTATATGTGCTACGGGGACTCCGGCCGGAATTCCAGGCGATGGCCAGTGCACTCACGGTGACCGGCACTCCGGTCACCCTTTCTTAGCTTGGCAATCTCCTGCAGGCGCAAGACTTCATCCACGGTGATGCATTTTCGCAGGTCGAACACGCCGGGAACACCTCCTCTCTAATGGCATTATACGCCGGACGTGGTGGGTAATCCAGTGGAGGCTCTGGGCATGGCAGCCAGCAATCGTCCAATCATCGTGGTCGCGGACGAGGACGGCACTCCGGCGGTGGGCGTGGTCGTGGCAACCCACGCTGCCAGATTTGTAGAAGTCACGGCCATACAGCCGTGTACTGCTACAAAAGATACACGGAACCAGCGCTGCATGCTAACATGGCCGTGGCAGGTGGCTCGCCGGCGGATGTACAGGCGGATGCTTGGTTCCCCGACACCGGCGTCTCCACGCATGCATCACCGGGCGAGCAGCTGGTCGGGCAGTCCGAGGCATACACCGGCGGCGACGTCCAAAAAGTAGGCAATGGCGCAGGTTTGAATATCTCCCGAGTTGGTCATACGGTTATCCCATCCAATTCCAAATTATTAAATATGTCTAATATATTGCTAGTTCCGAACCTGTCACTGTCTCTTTTATCAGTTTATCGTTTCATTAACGATAACGATGTCTTTTTTAGTTTCATAAGGATTCATTTTTTGTGAAGGATTGTACTACTCGGGTAACTCTTCTTACAGGTGCCACGGTAGGCGGTTTGTATAAGTTGTTGGTGCCACGGTCACATTTTGCATTCCTAATGGTCGCATTTTGCATTCCTAACGGCAAAAGCTTCACCCTCAGTTTGGCATCAACGATTGGGACACCCACATAAACAAGCCCTTCAATGAGTCCTAAAACACTGTCCGGTCACGTCAAATAAAGCTCGTGCGTCAGAAGTCTGTTTGGCGTGTCAACTTGGCAAGTCGGCTCGGTTTCCCCTAGATAGAGTTCCTATTTCAAGTTTTAATATTTTAGATTTGTTATATACGGATATCTGGGGGCCTTCCCTGGTTGTTTCAGATTCTGGCTACCGTTATTTTGTTTTATTCGTAGACGACTGTACTCGTTTTTGCTGGTTTTATCCCTTACGGTTAAAATCAGATATATATAAAGTTTTTGAATTGTTTCGGGTGATGGTGGAACGGCGGTTTTCCCGTTCTATCAAAGCCATTCAGTCCAATTTAGGTGGTGAGTACCGTCGCCTTCACAAAATATTCGAGTCTCTAGGCATTACACACAGACAATCGTGTGCCTATACCCACGAACAAAACGGGCGAGTTGAACATCGGAATAGGCATATTGTCGAAACCGGTTTGGCACTGTTAGCCGAAAGCTCAGCTCTGTTAAAATATTGGGACTATGCTTTTGAAACAGCAACTCAATTAATTAATTGCTTACCTTCATCAGTTATATGTTATGAAACCCCACACTTCCGTCTACACAAAACACCCCCACCATACACTTTCTTCCGTGTCTTTATGAGTAAGTGCTACCCTTATCTAAGGCCGTACAATCGGCACAAGATTGAGTACTACTCTACACCTTGCGTCTTCCTAGGTTACCCAGTTTCTTTTAGGGGATACCGTTGTATGGATTTAACTACAAGAAAGATATTTATCTGTCGTCTTGTGCGGTTTGATGAATCAATCTTCCCGTTTGCTTTGCAGACTCCTTTGCAGGTTGACTCTAGTTCGGACCCCACTCCTGCACCCTAGGGAGCTGGGCCCGTGATGGTACATTCAGGCAACACCCCGGTTCTGGATGAACCGCCTCTTGCACAGCAGCCAACACCCATGGCTATAGAAGGGCCACCCCAAGCTGTTGCAAAACGCAGTCGACCCCTGGGTGGTGCTAAACGCACCCGCCCTCAGGCAGAGAGTCATGTCATGCGCACCAGGTGCAAAACTCGGGGCACAGACGAGCAGTTTTATGCCCTTATCACCACTGTGGACCCCACTTGCTACTCTCAGGCCGTGGGCCACCCACAGTGGCGGGATGCCATGGATCAGGAGTCTAATGCTCTCATGCATAATAATACGTGGCAACTCATCCCGGCAACCCCAAATATGAGTGTTATTGGGTGTAAATGGGTTTTCCGTACCAAGAGCAAGGCCGATGGGACAGTTGAACGCTATAAAGCCCGTTTAGTGGCGAAAGGGTTCAATCAGGTAGCCAGAGAAGATTTCTTTAACACCTTTAGCCCCGTAGTCAAATCGACTACGGTCCGCATTCTGTTTTCCCTTGCAGTGTCTGACAAGTGGGTGCTTCGCCAACTAGATGTCCACAACGCCTTTTTGAATGGGCATCTATCTGAAACTGTCTACATGAAACAGCCCCCCGGCTATCAGGATCCTGCTCACCCAGGACACGTCTGTCACTTACAGCGTTCTCTGTATGGGCTCAAACAAGCACCCCGAGCCAGGTTCAACCGCTTACATGAGTTCTTGACATCAATTGGTTTTTTGGCATCCAAAACCGATGTCTCACTTTTTTATTATACAGCTGGTGACTCATGGGTGTACTTATTAGTCTATGTGGATGACATAATCATGATGGGCAACGACTCGGCATTGATTGACGCCCTCCTTTGTCAGTTGTCAGCAGCTTTCAAGATTAGGGATCTGGGTACACCCAACTTCTTTCTAGGGATAGAAATGGTGTCTTCCACTGAGGGGCTAATTCTTTCCCAGCGACGGTATATGAAGGATATCCTCACTAGGTCCGGATGACAGACTGTAAGGCCTTGGCCACTCCGGCTACAGTCACCCAACCTGCTACACCCTCTTTGACTCCTTTCGAGAACCCGACACAGTATCGCCGTATCGTAGGGGCTCTGCAGTACCTAACCATCACCCGGCCTGATCTCTCCTACTCTGTTAACAGGCTGTGTCAGTTCATGCACTCTCCGACTGATGATCACTGGGCACTGCTCAAGCGGGTTCTGCGGTATATCAAGGGGACTCAGGACTACGGGCTTCGTCTATCTCCATCACCTTCCTCTGATCTACATGCTTACACGGATTCGGACTGGGCCGGATGTCCGGTAGACTGCAAGTCCACCAGTGGCTACGCTGTGTTTCTCGGGGACAATCTTGTTTCATGGGTCTCTCGCAAGCAACGCACCGTGGCTAGGTCCTGCACAGAGGCCGAGTACAAAGGGCTTGCCGATGTTTCAGCAGAGGTTACATGGGTTATCTCTTTACTGCATGAGTTAGGGTTACACTCCGGCACCCCGGCTACGCTATGGTGTGATAATTTAGGCGCCACCTACTTAGCGGCTAATCCTGTTTTCCACGCTCGCACGAAACATGTTGAAATTGATTACCACTTCGTCCGGGACAAGGTCGCATCTGGGGATTTCATTGTTAATTTTGTCGCAACCAAAGATCAGCTGGCAGACATCTTCAGTTCTTCACCAAACCACTTCCGGCTCCGCGTTTTCAGACTCTACGAGACAAGCTCAATGTTGTTGCCCTCCAACCTTGTGCTTGAGAGGGTGTGTTAGTAATAATATATAATTATGTTATAATGTATAGTTTAGATATCTGTGGTTGTTATTTGATTGAGTAGTCTAGTCTATTGTGTAGGAGCTTTTAGTCGTAGCTTTCCTATAGGTCTCTTGATTGTAATCTCTTTCCAGATTGAATGTGAATTCTGTTTGTTCATCCCCCCGCACCCGCCCCCATACCCGTGTGGGTATACAAAATTCCCCCCATATCCGCACCTATTACCTAAATTATGCGGGTATTTAAAACTCGTATGGGCGGGCGGGGTTGCGGGGAACCCATTGGATGCGGATAGAATTGGATACTGCAACTGCTAGGACTCAATCATGTATCCTTATTCATCGACTTGACGTGATTAAAGTGTCACATCATTAAATGCATTGAAGTGATAAATATAGAGTGACGTGGCATTTCATAAAGATACACAATTGTTGGGATTATTACCCTTGCAGGGTATTGTTAATTATTTTCTTCTCCCAAAAGGTTGGATTTCCACCTCTAAAGGTTCTTTACACTCCGGCCCGACAGAGTATTTGGGAGAATGTAAGTCACGGTTACTCAATAGCTCAGTAGACAGGGTCAATTGCCGGTTGGCACGAGATCTGTCAAATTTAGGCATAATCCCCACACTGCTGCTGCTGAGATTTCAAACCTTGATCTCTTCTCCCAAATATTTTGACTCGAAATATGCTGATGAATAAAGTTGCTACCGAATAAATAAAGTCAACCAGTCAAGCTTATTGAATTAGTCTGTAAATCTTGATGTAATGATGCGTCCCAACTCCCATATTGGCTATTACGGAAAATTTTGGACTAATATATAACTTAGATTAAACTTGTATTCATAAATTAATTTTTGTGGTGTAGTTAATTAAGATATAGGTCCATATTAGTTAGGGGTGTATTCAATCATGACTTTCATAGAGTTTTAAAGACTTTTATGAACTTTAAAAGTTTGGAGGTATTGAATTCAAACTTTTAGGGGGCGTTTGGTTCAGGTCATCTTAGATTACCTAGGTAATCTGAGTCTGGTAATATTATATTATCTTGTTTGGTTCAAGTTATAAGATTACCTGGTAATGTTATATTACCTGAAAGCTGATGTGGCGGTAATGTTTCAAGGTAATGTGATTACCCCCAATTTTTTAGGTAATCTTAGATTACCTTGAATTATTCCAACTTTGCCCTTGTTAACTAATCCTTATATAATAATAATAATAATAATAATAATAATAATAATAATAATAATAATAATAATAATAATAATAATAATAATGAAATTAATATATGTTTATATAATCAAATATATATGTGTATATTTATATATTTAATTTTTTTAATATTTAAGCATCGATATACATTCATACATATAAATAAAGACACACATTATACATATATATATATATATATATATATATATATATATAGAAAACTGTTCAGATGTGCATTCTCATTATCATGTGCATTTGTGCACCATATCCAGCCAAACAAGGTAATATTATATTACACTATCCAAACCAAACACAAAAGGTAATCTTACATTCCCAACATCTCACATTACCTTCCTGGAGGTAATCCTATTACCTAGGGTAGTCCAAGATTCCGTGAACCAAACGCCCCCTTAGAGAGTCTTTAAAAGTCAGGCGGTATTCAATCACGACTTTTAAAGAGTCTTTAAAAGTCATGTGGTATTCGATTAAGTCTTTTAGAGAGTCTTTAAAAGTCATGTGGTATTCAAAAAGTTATGAACTTTTGTAGACTTTTTAATTTTAGGACTTTTGTAGACTTTTCCTTCTCAAATATAAATAGTTGAAATCCAACCATCAACCCCAAGATTTCAAAATTTTCTTTCTAACAAGTTTGAATGTTTTCTCTCTCTATTTAAACTCTATTTTTTGTCCCTATTTAAACTTTATAAACCTATCTAAATTTAATAAAATTATTTTTTCTTCATTATCCTATATTTTCCTCATACCTAAACTCTACCAGTTTTTCTCTCTCCTAAACTTTACAATCTTCCTCTAAAAATTCGAAATAATATTATTTTTACTTCATTATTGCGTGTTTATATTGATTTTTATTTTTTTCTATGAATTTTTTATCCCTAACTTTCTCTAATTCTCCCTAAATACATGAACAAAGCAAATTTTTCATCGCCAAATTTTAGTATATGTTTCATAATATTCATATAAATACTTATATATTTTGATTTTTATATATTCTTTTTAGGGAAAATTGTAATTTATGCCCCTCACAAATATGTCAATTATCAATGTTACCCCTGAATTATTAGTGGTGTAAATATTGCCCCTCAATTTTCAAAACGTGACATATATTTCCCCTCCCTTGAATTATTAGTGATGTAAATGTGGTTACCCGTCGTCTTTCTTGTTCGAAGACCACGTTTTTTTCCTCAATTTTTCTTTCTTCGATTATTCTCCTTCCGTCGACAACAATTTTTCTCCTTCATATTAGGGGAGGGGCAATATATGTCACGTTTTGAAAATTGAAGGACAACATTTACACTACTGATAATTCAGGGGTGACATTGATAATTGACATATTTGTGAGGGGCATAAATTACAATTTTCCCTTTTTTTTATGTATATATTCATAATATATATTTTTCCTTTTTTTTTTTAACAATAGGTTACTACGAATAGTGAACTACTGTTCACAACAACAATTTGGAGTTGCAAATAATAGCACCTTGTTGTTGTTCGCAGTCTCAAATTAATATTAGATTTTTATTTTTTTTATTTTATGAAACTTGTAATTATATTTTTAAATATTTTATTTGATCAATTCTTTTATTATAAATTTTATTGTTCAATATTGTTATGATTTCTAATGAAATAGTTTTTTTTTTTGTTGATGTTTATTAATTAGATATATAAGTCTCAACATACTATGGATAAAAATAATAATGTTGAGAATGTTGATGTAGGTGAAAACTATATAATAAGAAGAATTTTATGATATATTATAAATGTTTTGTAAGAAAATTATAAATGATAAGAATCAAAATCATTGAAAGTTTGTAAGGATGTATTCAATTTAGAATTTAATGACTTTTGTAGACTTTTTAAAATAAGAAGTTGATAAAAGTCTATGAATTTTTTTATATAGAATTTTATAGTCTTATAAAGTTTTAAAAAGTTTTGAACGACTCTATGAAAGTCAATCAAAGTTTATTAAAATCTATCATTTTAAAAGTTTTTAAAACTCTACAAAAGTCATGATTGAATACACCCCCCTTAGTATCAATCCATATTTGCGTGTGAGTCTTAGAAGAAAATTCAATGAAACTGATAAATACGGAGTAAATAAATAAATAAGTTCAAATAGTTAAAATGTGATATAGGGGGGAAAATGTAATTATAGTCACTCAATTGTTTCTAACTAGCAATTTGAGTTCTTAATTTTTTACCGTTGCAATATACACATCTAACTCTTTTTAAAAAAATTGAAATTTTAAGTACCTCTGGAACTGGAACAACAAAACTGTTAAACCCTATTAAATTTTACTTAGTACATGTATATTTAGTATTTTTTTAATGTTTATTCTTTACTTAGTACATACATATTTGTTAGAGTTAATTTCATTTTTGGTCCTAGATTTATAGATGACAATCCACTTTTAGTCCTTTTTTATTAGAACATCCTCATTTGGTCCTATTAATCTTGTGGCATGGTCATTTTTAGTTATCCATCAACAAAATCGTTGAAATATCGTTAAATACAAAGACATTTAATTCCAATCTTTTTTATACAAAGTATGTTGAACCGCTATATTTTTTATGTTTATTTTTTTTGAAAACATCCATAATTAAAGACCGAAATGTACTTATATTTAACGAATTTAATTAAATTGTTTTGTTGATAAAGAACTAAATTAAAATGGTCATACCACAATAATACTAGGATCAAAAATGGAATTAACTCTATATGTTACTATCTAATGTTATCATTGTTGCTAGATCTAGATTAATGTAATCTTTGATCTGATCTTCTTTTCCTATGTATTTTTTTTTTAATTCCATTAAAAAAAAAAAAAAAAAAAAAAAGATGTTTGGAGATAAATTGAAAGAGCAAATACCAATTTCGGTCCCACAAGTATTAGTAAAATGACGGTTTTGATCCACATGTTTAATTTCTACCAATTTTCATCCACGACTATTGTTTTAGTACCAATTTTAATCCATGACTATTATTTTAGTACCAAAATTCATCACGTCCGTCACCCATCTATTTAAGACATCCCGAAATCTAAAACTTTTAAGGGCATTTTCGTCATTTTCAACTTAAGATTTCAATTTGAGCATAAATAAATGAATTTAAGCCATAAGATTGATCTCAATTCACAGTTCTCCTCCTCATCCTACCTTTAATTTGAGGAATAAAACTGTGAATTGGGACATATCTTATTGCTTAAATCTCTTTATTTATGCTCAAATAGGGATCCTAATTTGAAAATCGCGAAACTACCCTTAATAATTTCATATTTCGGCATGTTTTAAACGAAGGGGTGACCGGCGTGATGAGTTTTGGCATTAAAATAATAGTTGTGGATGAAAATTGGTACTAAAACAATAGTCGTGGATGAAAATTGGTAGGAATTAAACATGTGGACCAAAACTGTCATTTTGTTAATTCTCGTGGGATCAAAATTGGTAATTGCTCTAAATTGAAACCTCATTCACATGCAACGGTTTCCACTTATATTAACGCCCATCCCAAACTTATCCAATCATTATTGTTTGGACCGTGTTTCACACATGTGTATAGACCACGGTCCAAAAATACATAAAGGACATTATTTTAACTCATAAAATACATTATTTTATTTAAAAAATTTAATTATTCTAACACATAAAGTACATTACATATTATTTTAACTCATAAATACATTATTCTAACATATAAATTACATTATTCAAACTCATAAAGTACATTATATTAGTTCAAAAATTTCATTATACTAACACATAAAGTACATTATTCAAACTCATAAAATACATTATCTAACTCCAAAATATTCAATTCTTACCGCTGACCCCATCCCAATTCACTGTACTGTTACGAACAACCTATATATAGCCCACCCTAACATGGTTATATGCAACCTCACCTCAACTCAATTCAATTCATTCTACATTTATTACAAAAGAAATACTCAAAAAGCTGATGATGGCAAAGTCGTCCAGCAGGGCAAATGGGAGCAAAAAGAATGGTATGAAATTCAAGATATTAGTAGAAAAGCTTCAGATGAGTTTTCTACTACGCAAGAGGTCACCGGTGAATCATTTCGATGATTTTGAGGACTCCAAGGATGTTACCAACGACGTTAAAGAAGGGCATTTCACGGTAATGGCAGTGGACGGTGACAAGATTCAGAGATTCATCGTTCCGCTGAGTTATTTAAGGAATCCTTGTTTCTTAATGCTATTGGAAAAAGCTGCAGAGAAGTATGGGTTTGAACATGAAGGTGCACTCATGCTTCCTTGCAGGCCAAGTGAGCTGGAGAAGATTCTTGCCAACCAATATATATACTGGAAGAGCAGATTGGAGTTCTCCTACAAGTCAAGAGCTTTAAGTTTAAATTAAAGATAAAAATACCTGTAATGATTGTGTAAAGTTTTCTAAGATTACATTATTATAATATTAGCTCAACCTTATAATAATTAAGGTAATCTGTTATGGTGCAATTCTTTCATACATACTCCTATTAATTAAGGTAATGATTGATTGTAAAAGATAAGGAGTGTGATTAGGAAGGGATTCAGTTACCATATTGATGTCATATGGTTATTATATAAAGAGCCCTCTAGTCCTCTCACTGCTTAACATTCATTCCTCATACATCATCCAGAGAGGGTTGAGAAAGTGAGAGAAACATATACTGTTACTCTGCCGCAGCAGTCCGTGACAACGCAACCTTCATCAATCGGAAGCTATGGCTGGAGGTTAGTACTTAGTACTTAAATAAAGATCCTATCACGTATTTAAGTTCCTACGTGATTTATATACTTACAGATTGTTCATTATCATTTTTTTAATGGTTAGTACAGATCAATTTTAAAATGTTTAATTGATTGAGTTTCTTGATCAATATTATTTAAATTTTGAAACTCCAAAATTCAATTATTAACTACCCTCCATGTAACTGTATGTGGACTATATATATGTATTCACTTAAATCCAACCCCATATAAAATTAGTGGAGTTCATCGCTAGATTATTTCTGGTGGGGTTTGAATTCCAACTGCACGTCGCTGAAAGAAAGTTTCAAGTTCAATTACTCAACCACTAAATCACTATTCTCTGAAAAATTTCATAATTTAATGTACTGGGATTCTGATCTGATCTTACTGCCGGGATAGTAGAGTAAATTTTAATTTTGGTCCATTGACTATTGAACTTGTGTTAATTGCAATAACTGACTTTCAAAACTGTTAATTTAGTACCTTGTGTAACACCCCACTTTTTTTAAAACTTAACTACAATTATAATCCATAATTAACATAACTAAGCAGTGGATTAATAAGATACCTAGTGGGAATGTCATCACCACAACCACCACTCCATAGTGATCGCACTCCATAGTGATCGTACAGGCTAAGGGTAGAACTAGAAAATAAATAAATATCTAAACATCCATCAACTTAAATAAAGCATAAGGGGAATAAACACACCCCAAAGTCTACAACTCTACATCATCGAAAATAACAAAACATCATAAGTCTAACATCCGATAAATAGTCATAAACAAGACATAAAGAGTTTAGACATCTCAATCTAAAAAACTAGTCTAACTCGATCACTTCTCACTGCTGGGCCCACCTGAAAGGGGTTTACAAGCAACACATAGACAAATAGGAAAACACCCGTTAGCACGAAACTAAGTATAACCACACTCAACCTTATAAAGTACTATAGAATATACTTTGGAAAAACATTTGATAACATTCGTATACAACAAACTCATCTCATAGGCAACCTTAGTCATATCACATACTTCTATATGCTTGCATCCTATAATATCAACAGGCATGTTTCGATACAAAAGACTTAACAACTTAGATATTTCAACATGTAAATGTCACAACAAACTTATCAAGCAACTCATGCTTACAGGTAAAATCATGCTAATAAATCATACGATAGTTATTCTCATGCTCTCAAGTTCTCATCATGTAACTGGATATACAAGACTTCAACTGTAACTACATAGTACAATCATGCTCGATATACAATCTTAAATCAACATTCTCATTATGCAATCTCATGCATTACTCTACTCAAATGCAATCTCGTGCAATACTATACTCATATGCAATCTCGTGCAATGCTATAAATATACTCATATGCAATCTCGTGCAATACTTTACTCATATGCAATCTCGTGCAATACTATAAATATACACACATGTAATCTCGTGCAATGCTATAAATATACTCATATGCAATCTCGTGCAATACTATACTTTTATGCAATCTCGTGCAATACTATAGATATACTCATACACTCGTAAAAAAAATAGAGTACTTTCTGTGGAGGTCTCATTGAGTCATAAATGACTTGCTTTCTTTCTTTCTTTCTTTAGAGTCGCAATGACTCACTTCTTTCTTTCTTAGAGTTGCAATGACTCACTCTTTCTCTTTAAAATGGACGAGGTAGGAACTTCATCATAGTGTGAATGATCCTATCTGGGTACGGCGTCTAGCCGACCTAATACTCTGCTCGTCCACCGAACCACTCTCTTGGTTCTATGCTCAAACTCTGTGGAATCAGGTATCGAACTTTTAGCGTGCACACCCCCTAACCAGGATTCCAAGCCTGGCGGGTAGTTTCCAACCTCGTAACATGAGAATACACCGCATTACATATACTGGGACCGCAATGTCCATAAAATCATCCGAGTGGACATAGTCCAAACGGGATCCTCCAAAACCTCACCGATATAGATAATACATAAATATATCTCTCATGCATCAATCTCATGCATGCAAAAACTCTACAACTTCTCAATGCATCAACTAATGGTATGCCACATGCTTACGAATTTTGAAAGTAATACTTGGCTGACGTTGGCCACTTATGCATTTTTAAAATATGATATATGTGAGATGCAAAATACTCTACAACATGCTCCAAAACCATGTATATAATCCATAAAATTCTCAAGGATACCATATCATACTCGGTTTGCAACATAGCAAATTCTATACATTTCTATCAACAAAATATGCTTCAAAACAAATTGATCAATTATCACATTTTAATCATGCTTCCATAATAAATCATATTCTCAAGTGATCATGCTTCTCTACTCAATACAAAAATAACATCAGATCACAGAGTCATGCATTTCTCATACACTGTGAACTTCACAATTTATACTGTGTAGCAAATTCTTCAATAAATCCATCATAACATACTCATTTTTAATCCAAATTCAATGAAATCAAAACCAAAACGTGCATTGAGACGGTCCTGAGGTACCGAGCCACAAGGACCCGTGACACTTGGCCTGAAACAGCACGTAGCTGAGCCACAAGGGCCCGGCCACTGCACAAAATCCTCCCAGAATGAAACTCAGGGACCTGGGGCGGGACTCCTCAAGAGCCGCCCCAAGTAAACCGTCACAAGGCCGGGCCTAGGAAACGACCCTCTCCTACGGCCGTGCCCTAGGCCCAGTTGGCCCCGATGGATATTTTCATCTGCAAAAATTATTCCAAGCATGTCCAAAACATTCTCAACACTTCAAAGACAAATACTAGATCACTTCCAAGCTTAAACACAACAAAATCTCATCATTTCTACTCATTTATACTCAATAAAATAGGTTTCACAGAGCCAAAATCAAAGAGGGAGTCCATGGGGTTATACCTCTTGTTACTTCTTCTTCTTGTATGGATCTCTACCTCCTCTCTACTCAACACCACCTCCTTCACCACCTAAACAAGCCAAGACTAAGAAACCTCAGAGATTGAAGGCTAAGAGAAGCGGAAACCTTAAGATAGGATGGAAAAATGAATGAAGGAAATGAATGTTGAAACATACTACAATGCTCTTTTCTTCTATCAGACAAGAGCTTGGGAGAGGCAATGATGGAGATCAAGGAATAACAAATGGATAGTGTTGTTTATATAGGGTGCAAAACCCTAGGTAAAAAGACCAATGATTGGTTGAGGGCAAAGTGGTAAAACTAGGCTAGAAAGTGTTCTTAGGCAAAATTTCTTGGAGTGGAGTGGTTCACCTAGCATCATGGACCAAAGGCTAGAAATTCTATTTTAAATACTTTGGAATTGAAAATGAATTTTCACAAAAAGTTTGCTGGATGAACACTTGTTTAAAGCTTCTTTGAATTCTCCCGGTTTCACTCAGATTGATTTCTCGATTTAAAACATGGTACGCGAAGTACCCGAAGATTTAGGATTTTTGGAATGAAATAAGTTTTGGCGTTGTATTAATTTAAAATGAGTCCAAAATAATTTATTCAAATACCAATTAATCGCAAAAATTTTTAATAGAGTGAAAATGTCTGTTTTGGAATTTCTTAAAATTGGATTTATAAAATAAAATTTTGGGTTGTTACACCTTGAGTATGTAATTTTAATCAATTTTGGTCACGCCGACCAAATGGGACAAGAAAATTTTAAATCAACAATTTGTCTTAAATAGAAGGACAAAATCGTCATTTCAGGTCACCATTTTCTTCTTCCTTGCACCGGCCGAAATTGCATTGAGATTACCGGTGAAATGTGCCACGCCACGTCGCCAGACTTTCCCATGGCCAATTCGGTCACCATCTCCTTCATTAACATCAGAAGCAAATTCTAGAAACCCCATTTGGTAATCAGATAGAATTAGAAGAATCTGTCATCAAACAAATGATGAATGCTTGCACGATTTTATTGATTTGAAGGTTAACGCAGAACCACACACCCCCATGGACCCACACAAGATAAAATATGTTACATGACTTACATTTTTGTAATTTTCCTGTTGAGCAGTATGAGAATTACTAATTGGTTTCCCTCGAAATGGATTGTCGTCGGAGAAGATCGATGCGGTGGCGGCATTCGCCGAGACTTCTCCAAACAGGTGTTGGAAAATGCTGGATGAATTAGAATTTGGGGCAACATTTCCGCTTTCTTTGTCATGTGGTTTCCGCTGAATTGGACAGAGTAAAAATCCACTTTCATGGCCACCGAATAGCTCGACGGCGTGGACGAAACGGGCACGAAGGGTGCTGATCCAACGCATTTTGAGGGCCGCATGCTCCGCTTCACAGGAAGCTTAGGGAGAAATGTCGATCTCATAATCATCATCCCGTGAGACGGGCGGAGCATCGTGGTGAGGGTGAAGGTGATGGTGGTGAGAAGCTGCGGCTCCTATTCCAACTTCGTCGTACTGATTGTGGGGCAGCTGGTCAAATCATGAATTCCAAAATTGACACAGAAGACTTTGTGAAAATGGAAGGAAATTAAAAATGGAGGTGAGAGGTGAAAATGGGTCAAAAGCGAGTGTTGGATTTAATTAACCGGGGTAGACCCGAATTACTAAACGCGATAAGTAATGGATAGGAAAAATGTGTGTC